GCTCCACCTCCTTCGGCAGAAGTAGCCCCTTCTCGGCGAAGGCGGCCAGCACCGCCTCATCTACATTGGATGGCCCGTAGTTCAACATCACGCTCCGGACTCATGAACGGATTTGTGAGTTCTCCTCTCCCGCGCTTTACCCTCTTTCTCCTAGGAACCGTCGCGGCACACGAACGCGCTTGGCAAGAAGGAAGAAGGAGGAGAGGCGGCAAATGGAGAAAGGCAAAGGAATGGGACGAAAACCCTCTCCCTTCTGCTATTTAATGCGAATAGGCATGCGGTGGGACACATCCTGACTGATGGGACACACCCTGCCCAACGAAACGTCACCCGGTTAAAGCGAGATGTGGCCTAGGTTGGGCCCACCACTACCACAACCTAGGCGTAGGAAACAAGGCGCAACCACATGTAAACGACCCTTCGCCTTCCCAGGTAGGGTTTGGAAGGGCCCACCGATAGGATCTCCGTCGAGGAAAGACCAACGGGCCACCTAAGTCAATCGGACGGCTCAGGTGACTGCCGAGAGATAGGTAAGGAGCAGTGGGATGCCCCATGTGGGCTACACCGACTCCGTCATGAATAATGGACATGGATCTCATTCGGACATATCCGATAAGAGCTCCTCAAACCCATCACTTGAGTCATCAAGGTAACTTTACCAAGCCTTCTTACTTTGTTTTCTGATGCATGATCATTCATTCATCCTTTCTCATACACATATTCACACATTCATTCATACAATCATTCATTCATCCCATACATCCAAAGCATCGCATATGCAATTAATGCATCACAACGCTTCATGTTGCCTCACGAAGCGGTAGTTGCCTCATTCAACATGAGCAATGATCGACCAGGGTTTGAAGGCCAGCCTGTGAAGGGCTCGAGGCTGCCTCATGTCAAATAGAGCCAGGGGAGAAAACGCAGATGAGCCCCAGCGGCCCTCGCCCGATATGCTCAGAAGCAGACAGGGTCATCTTGACCTTCTTGTTCGATCCTAACCTCGAGCCATGCCCACAGAATCTCCATTGAGGGGAGGCCAGCGGGCCACCTGAGTCGGTCTCTGGAACGACCCGGGCATCTGCCGGGACGCGGGTTAAGGAGCAGTGGAATGCCACATGAGGACTCTGCCAACCCCGTTACGAACGACGGACCCGAATTCCATTCGAACGTGCCCGTTAGTGAGCTCACCGAGCGCGTCACTCGAGCCATCGAGGCAAGCGATGTTAGCTTAGCCCCTCTGGTTGTGGAAACCACAAACGGGGTAACGCATAGAACTAGACCAACCCCTACCAAACCCGACTGGGCTCAGGGGCTCGGGTCGCCCGACGCTGACTCGGAAAACCAACCAACCGCACAGGTCACGGGCGAGACAAACACGGGCGAACACCCGGACCGGCAGAAACACAGGAGTCTGTGGCCCCAGGAAAGAGTACCAAGATACTCAGCCTCCAACCGACTCACCAGTCGGAGGCAGGCTCGGGGGCTACACCCACCGAGTGCACTTGCGCGCACCCGCTAGCAAGTCAAAAAATCTCCCATATGATTCTACCCAAATCGCCCGGGGGCTCGGAGGCTACACCCACCGGGTGCGCTCGTGCGCACCCACTGGCAAAAACAAAAAATCCCCCAAACGATTCTACCTAAATCGCCGGGGGCTCGGGGGCTCCTGTCGGGTTCATAAACCCGGGGTCCCTAATGGGCCCGCTTCCCAGCAAAAGCTCGTCCAGCAGACGGCATTACAAACGACACGCAACTCCTGGGCCAGCCCAGATACCTAACGACAGGCCGAAAGAGCGATCCAGTCTCCGATCGAAAGGCCTGGCCAAGGAGGAGACGACGCTTGCTTTCGACTCCGACCTGCTTTTCCGACTGGAAGGCCTGGCCAAGGAGGGGACGACGCTCGCTTCCGACTCCGACCCGCTTTTTCGACCGGAAGGCCTGGCCAAGGAGGGGACGACGCTCGCTTCTTACTCCGACCCGCTTCTCCGATCGGGAATACACCAAACCTCTGCTTATGGCTCTTCTCCGACCGACGCGGTCGGAGCCGATTGGGAACGACCGGCCGGGGACGCCCGCTCGGTGAGGACCCAAGAAATCAGGCGGAGCAGATAAGGTAAGGTGCTCAAGTCAACCGCAATACCGAGGATCGTACTCTGCACACCTACAGGACAGTACTGTCAGGCCATGCCAGAAGGGTACTTTGCAGCCTTCCAGATATGTCAGAACACAAACAGTGTTGTAGACGCCGACATTTGTCCTACAGTATGGTAGGCGCCGATATTTGTCATACCAGAAGAACACGATAGAGCCTGCCACATGCATCTGGACGTCAACAGTATTGTGGGCGCCAACAGTCTTGTACCCGACGGCGTGGGCAACAAGACTAGGGAACACTCTCTCTCTCTCTCTCTTTCTCTAAACTTTTAAGACAATCCCCTTCACCTATAAAAGAGGATGTGCTCTCTCCCAACAAAGGACGATGATTCCAACTCTCTTTCTCTACCTAGCTTTAGACATTCTAAGCACTCGAACAACTTCACAGCTCTAAAATTCTAAAGCTACACATAGCATACGTTCTAAAACTTAGCGCACGTAGGAGCTCCCGTCACTCTTGGCCTTTCGGTCCAGAGTCCGACCGGACCTCTAACACCCCCTTCTCATTCCAACTTGTTTGTCATCCCACAGCAAACTTCGAGCACCTGGGCTCAGGAATAAAGTCACCGACCTACTCAAACTGGACGTAGGGCACGTTGCCTGAACCTGTATAAATCATGTGTCATTGAGTGCTAGGCCACATTCGATCACAACGTACGGCAAAACGACAAATATTTACTTGTTGGTCACTTTTCGCACTGACAGTCAGTTTTGGTACTTTGTCAAAATATATAATCGACTTTACCATTGTGTTTTCTCTCGTCGAGATGGAAAAAAATGGAACGTTCAATTTGAAGTCTGAATGGAGTTAGGCCCTCGGGAAGGTGTCACTACATCGGGAGTTCTGACGAAAGTTTCGACTTTCGCAAGGCTGGAACTTTCTACTACTTGTCGGAACTTTCGACTTTTTCAGTCTAAATCTAGGAGAGTTCAAACTCGATCCAAACCCGTGGGAAACTTACAGATTCTATATTTGAGAGATTTTCTACTATGATAAGATCATCTCCCTCTCTATACACTGGAGAATCATGGATGATTGAGTGATCCAACATCCAATCGAACTTTTTTTCATATATTACCTCTTTACCCTACTTTTCCGGTCTCTCGACATGATTCGGCCGCGTTGACGCATTGTAGGTGGTGTTGTTCATCCTAGGAAAATCTCGGCGTGCATCTCCATGACGGGTCTCCCTAGAATGTGTTCTCGAGTGATCTCAGGCTCTATTGGCTAAGGACAAACTTTAAATCAGCCTAACTGATCTCTTGATGGGTTTTGCTGATCTTGGAGTTATTTGCTGCGTGTGATAGGTCGTGTTAGTCCTTGATGGTTGTGATCTGAATCGCCATCAACACTATCCTTGTTTATGTTGCTTTTGTGATTTCTATAATCGAAGCCGCACGGCAGTGAAGTCAGAGCGGCCGAATGGAATCCAATCAGTATGGGAATTCAGATTCTTGATACCCCTGATATATCCAACTGTTTATTTAGACGGTGGAATTAAACAATGTATACTATCTGTTCAATTATGATCCAAATTCAATGGCATTGTCCTTGTGTTGGAGTCCGTGACTTGAGATGTCGGCGTGCACGTTGCTAGCTCGTGTAGGAGCAGGACTCTCTTGCCGTACGTGCTGGTAGCTGATCCGTCAAGGCCCTGAACCAGCAGCATGCGATACAGACGTGGTCTGTCCGGGTTGGACCTGCTATATTGGCTCGGTACCGATCGTCACCTATTATAGTTTTTTTATCTTTATAAATCATTATCTTGGAATAATAAAAGTTGTAAATCCTCGACGTTTGTAGCCTCACCCGATATAGTAAAGATTTATTGGCTGGTGCCCGTGGTTTTTTCCCTTCCTCCTTGAGAGGGTTTTCTATATTAAAATCTCGTGTCCTCTATGCTTAATCTACTATTCTTCCTCGTTTATATTGACTATCGTTGCTAACATAGGCAGCTGAACAAAGAGACAGATGCCCAGCACTGATCCGGACAGTATTGTAATTTTGTGTTCCCAGCGCTCCTCCTGACAAGGTCCCCCTTCTTTTAATTCCTAGAGAAAGCAATGCCCATGGTCTCAAAGCAGACAAGCAGTCAAACAATATAGGCAGGCATGCCAAGATTAAATTAAAATTAAAAAGAAATGATGAACAATAATGATGATTGGTTGTATCAGTATTACTGAACTAAACCCACTTCCCTTCGTCATAGATTCTGTTCACTTCCTTTTCTTATGTTAGCCTCTTAATTTATTCATCTGGGTCAACTTTTTTTTTGTCACAAATACATTTCTCGTCTTCTACATTTTCTCTTCACAATGAAACTGAAAAAAGAAAGAATACTAGAAACTACTAAAGCAATTTATCAGATACTCCAACATAGGCAGGTCAGTGCCTAGTTCTTGTAGTACATATTGCCTACGGTCTACTCTGGTCCCTCCAGGCCTTCACCATCTTATTCTGATCATCTCATCGATCTCCAGCTTTGTGTCCCTACAAAGCCATGGTGCGCCCATTGTGGCGCACCATGCTTGTGCTGGTTGTCTGTCTCCCTCCTCCGGTCCTTGCAAAGAAAAGCTCAGCAATTTAGGTGTTGTCCACCTCACATCTTTATTCATCTACTTCTTGCCCTCTCCTCTCGTCATGTCAAAATCCCCTCCCTTTTCGCCTCTCAATGCACTTCCATCTCACACAGCACCACCACTGTCGTTGCAATCGAAGCCATTTGACCTTTCTTTCACCAAGATGAGTGGCGCGCGCGGTAAAAAAATCAAAAGCAGACTAAGACTAGTCAGTTCACTCTGATCATTGGGCACGCACTTTGACCGGTCACTGCAGCAATCCATCATCGGCTGGTGAGTTTTCTCCTTTTGCTGGTCACTGGGGGAGAGGAGCTTGAAGAGCCAGAGGCCCCATGTGAGGCAGCAACAGTGGCTGCTGCCGCGGCATCGTCTTCGCTCTTGTAGCTGAGGCAGCCCGCGTCCAGCACCCCTACAGGGCTCTGCGGCACAGGCACAGGGGAGGAGGTCCTGCCGCTCGCAGATTTTGGTGGCACAGTGTCAATGGCCGAGGACGCCATGGACTGGATCGCTTCCTGGCACCGCAACACCCGCTCCTGCAGACACAGACAGCAGCCCAAGGCAGGCAGCAGCACATTAAATAACTCGCCGATCGAGCTCTCACACACAAACACGCGGGTATAAATGCGTTTCACGCATCTGTACCGGGGCCGCGTTTATGCAAAGTACGGCAACAAGATTTGAGCTATGAATGTGTGGATCTCCAACTGTGGCCTTGCATTTGTTTAGCCTAAACAAACTAGCTAGGGGACGAAATGAGTTCGCATGAGGGAGGCTTTGCTTCAATGTACCTTATCTACGTGGGTGCAGGCGTTCTCAATGCCTGAGACGTTCACTTCTCCGACGACCACGGAGGCTGCAACTGCGGCGGCGATCTCAGACGGCCTAAACCCTATGCAGCAGGTTCCTGTCGTGCAGCAATACATAACAATGGTATTAGTTCAAGAGCACGAAATGGCATATAATCCATATACCATTTCCACTGATATAATGACAATCATGCTCGTGGTATACCTCTGGCTGCACACAAGATAAGCTCTGCGGATTGAAAGAACCAGCTTCTTGGCGCCACGTTGCCACCATTGAGCTTGTTTAGGAAGTAATCCATGTAGGAGAAAGGTGTGACGGCCTGCATCCTCCAATTGAGGGTGCTTAGAACAAGGAGCTCCATTCTCTGGATCGTCTTCGCCTCAAACACATAGCGCGCGTCTCCGACCTGATTGCACATGCCAACCACGCTTAGAACAAGACCAGATGAATAACAAGGAGAAAAAAAACAAACAATGTTCATCTTCATTGCAAGCAATGCCAAACACACAGTTTACCCACCTGAAGGTCCAGGGATTGCGGGACGGCGGTTTCCTCCATCTTGGCGGCTAGAGAAACACACGCCACCGAGAGGAGTTGTGTCATCCAGTCCTTGCCTTCCTGGAAATGACATGGGCGATAAACGTTACTACTGAATTAAAAAGTTACTTGATATTGACAGCATTGGCAAGGTAACTAAGAATGATCTTGTGATTCTTACCGGCAGCTCGTACCGTGAGAGGAAACGATCAAGATAGTTCACTGCCAAGTAGGCAGTGAGAGGACGAAAGTTGTAGTATGTGCAAACCTGCAGAAAGATCACAAGTTAGTAATCACGTGGAAATTAAAAAGAAGTGAAGCTATTGTATGGTAAATGATTCACGTGAAATATATTATGAAATTTTGTGAAATTTTTTTTGAGTTTGGCCTAAAAATGCGGACATGTTTTTCCCGAAAATGTAAAAAGAACAATGTTGAATCAGACAGTGCATCTTTGGTATCTCGTGATTCAGGAAGCGGACGAAAGGCCAACTTTGGCTGAGATGGTCCCCGAGTTTCACCCGGGAAAAATGGTCACGGCATATCGACAAGGCACGTTACAACGAGTGTTTTCCGCCTAAGTACTGAAATCATTGGCGTAAGTTGCTTGGCTACACGCCTAAACACGCACGCAATTCGACCATGAAAGAAATGATTGAAGCAGCCATCAGCATTGCAAAGATAGAAGAAACAATCTATGCTCTATGTAAGGAAGATCAAACATTGCGAGTGTTTGGATGCAGAAACAAGAAAATAAGCGTCTTTCTAGATGAACACAACTCAAGCAAATCATGGAAATGGAAATGGAATGCGCTCCTACAGGTCTCCTGAGCAGTAAGCAATGAGTCAAAATGTTTCCTTTTTTTCCATCCCCCTGTCCGGCCACACCACAGGCACTCAGATCAATCAAGAACCTACCTTCCAAATCCAGTCGATGGCCTCCCGGCGGACGCAGAGATCGACGCCGCCGCCGCCGCCGCGCAGCCTCTCGCCGTAGTCCGCCCTCGGCATGTGCTCCCGCTCCTTCTCCACCAGACCGGCCACGCATTCCTCCGACTGCGGCGGGAACAAATCCACGCCGAAATCGTCCCCGTAGTCCGGCGACCGGCCTCTCTTTCTCCCGACCGCCTCCAACTCCTCCTCCTCCTCCTCAAAGCACAGGATGCTGCTGTGCTCCTCGGCGCAGAGGAGCATGGACGCGGCCACGTCGTAGCAGCTCGGCGCCATGGCTCTGTACTACCGGTGTATCCCACTCCCACCGGGCACCGGCAAGCCAAAGCCAAAGCCTGCGCCTTTTTCCGGCTGCGTCTCCCTCTCCTGCCGTGCGCCGCCGGCGATGTAACCGGTTGGGTGGTGGCTGGTGCGCGTGTTTGGGTAGCGAGGAGAATGCGGCAGTGCCGAGTGGAGAAGGACAAGGGGGAGGACGGACGGAGGAGGCAGAGTGCGGTGCAGTTGTGCCGTGCGGCTGCCTGGCTGTGCCTCGCCCTCTCGTCTCCCCCCTCGCGCTTTGTACCGGGGAGATGGGGGGAGTATTTCGGGAAAGCGCACGCGGTGGTACGCCAAAATTGAGACAGCCGGAGCGGGAATGGAGGAGGCGGACGCCGGACGGTCCCGACGGGTGCAGGAAAGGCGAGCATTGCCGTACGCGCGGCTGGATCCGGCAGTTGAGGAGGCGTCCCGCGAGCCCCTGGCCGTCTGATCGGGGATGTGATTGGACGCGCCTGTTGACGCGGCCAGAGGATTGACAGTCCTCACGGCCCTTTCGCAAGGGTTGCCTAAAACATGATTTACCTGCGTGAGTGTGAAACCGCGCCTTTTGGGTTGATTTAGAACGGTCAACTGCGCTGCCCTGCCTACCATCTATATATGTTTATGAAAACACTTGCAAACATATTCGGCAAGTATTACAACACATATGTAAAGTTCAAAAGACAATGTTTTGTTCAAAATCTAGCGGGCAAAATTAAAATATCAGCAAAATTAGTATCGACCGGTCCATCAATCTGAACTCCTACCAAAGTTAGTGTTACTATGTAAGTAAATTTAGGCACGTTTTAATCCATTTGCCTAAATTTTGCTGGACTCAATGGGTAAAACAGGTCGCCAGGTCCCGCAGAACTATGTAAGTATCGACCGGTCCGGCAAAATTGTTACGTGACGCGTGGGTCGACCCATTTTACCCATTGAGCCAATAAGTTCCAACTCTATCGGACCTTTTCATACTTCGAGATTGATCCTGTGACCCATTGACCTTGCCTTATGGGTGGGGCGAACTATCCGATAGGACAACCTGGTCTATTCCCATCCCTACAATCGAGGTATGCACCTAGATGCCATGAATCATGTTGCAATCACTGATAACGAACCATGAAAGGCACATTAACCTAATAACGGTCATCATAGTGGCAAAACCAGCCCACTCCGCACCACATCATGTTATGGTGGGCCAAGGGGGGTGGACTAGAGCAGAGTTGTGACACGCCACGTCATGATATAGATCGACTTGGTGCACGCACGTGTGGCATGTATTTTACCTTTTTCAACTTTCTCAACAAGTGGACACAATAGTCATCCCTTTAAATTCATTGAACCTCTAGTCAAAATTCGATATGGAACTAAACCTTTACTGCATCTAGCATTTAATATGGGCCTTAGGATTTATTTAATTTTAATTAAATAAAATTAGACTAAGCCCAATTAAAATCCAACAATCGCCACTGAATTCTAAGGCATAGAAGAAATGCTCTCAGTTCTACTGTTGTTTGATATACCATTTGTTGACGCAAAAGATCGGCCACACATCACAAGGAGCTAGAATGCTTGGGTCGCAAACAGACTAAAGAATCCAGCGGATAACCAATACGCCTTCACGGTGAAGAGCGATAAGGTTTGTAAGCAAACCATCAACAGATAACTATCGTGCTTTCGTAGTTGCGTGACAAAGAATGGCTAGTTTTTGGGCAAACAAGCCAAGGAGGTGTCAAAGTTCACGCCCAGGAGAGATTGTGACAGGGCAAGGACATAGACGGGTTGGGCCGATCGGCCAACAAGCCTAGGATTCCATCTTTGATCATCAGATCAAGGGATGAACAACACCATGGAGGTTGGAAAGTAGGGCAAAGGAGAAAAGTATAGAGTAGATTGAATTTTGTACAATTGTGTATGATTAAACTTAATTGGTCATGACACTCCAATATATATAGAGGGGATATGGTCTTATCCCAGTAGAAAACCTTTCCAAAACATAATATGCAAGTTTCCCACAAGATTCGAGAAAGTTTGGATCAAATTTGCGTCAAACTAGACTCAGACAGACAATGGCCTTGGTCGGTTTACGCAGCCATGACGCTCACTTAGGAAAAACCGACCTAGGCTGGTCTACACTGGGCAGGTCCGACATCACCCAAAATCAGCCTAAGACAATTTTCCCTCGAACTTGCAAACTTGGCCCAAATCGTTTAAATTTGATTCTTTTTGTTTGCAATTCATTCCCAAGTCCGAATGCAACCTTCTTTGACCTTTTTTTGCCATCAACATTGGTGTTTTGATAGACTGTTATGTTGAACATCTATCTAGAATAGAGGTTGCACTTATTCTAAAATGAATAATGGAATATGCCTTAAATTGACAGTTTTATGAAAAGTAAGATTCACCTAAGCCCTTTATGAGTAGTAGGTTACCAAAAGCTTAACCTTTGATGGAGCATATAATTCAAACTCATTGGCTTTTCATGAGTATTTTGAGATTACCCAATCTCACTCAGCTACCGAAAGTGCATTTGCCCCCCATGTGGGTTTTGGTGTATTGATGACATCCAAATTAGGGAGTAATGTGATCTTAATGAGATATGTCGCAGCTATTTGTCCCATGAAAGATTCAAAGAGTTGATAAAGATGAAATGATATCCCTTAATTTGTTGAAGTTGGAAAGATGGACGAACTCAAAGCGCTCTCTAGAGTTTTATTCTTTATTTTGAGTATAGGTTTCGTCGTACTATAAAGAGGGATACAAGTTTAGGTGGTCTGAGAAAGATAGAGTGCTCAAGCATTTAAATAAAATAAAAAGAGACATAAAATCACCTCACGAACACTTAGACAAAGTTTGTGGACTTTTGGTAGTCAAAAGTCCCGGCGTGAGCCGGGAGTTCCAGCTGTCAGAAGTCCCGACGTTTGGTGTCGGAAGTCCCGGCGCTTGCTGACTTAGCCGCAGCATGCCTACGCACCTTCGCTAGTCGGAAGTCCCGACGGGAGTCAGGAGTTCCAGGTGCCGGAAGTCCCATCTCCCGCCGGAAGTCCCGATGCTTTGGGACTTAGTCGCCTGGCTCGCCATGTCTGTCGGGAGTCCTGACGGAAGTTGGAAGTCTTGGCTGCCGAAAGTCCCAGTGACTTCCGGGAGTTCTGACAACATACGAGCAAGTCCAGTGGACTGTCTACGTGAACAGTGTTTTTGCGTAGAGCCGGAAGTTCTAGAGATCTGTGTCGGAACTTCCAGCGCAGATCTGAACGGTTGGATTCTACTATGAGTATAAATAGCTCTCTCCTCTCTTCTAACCATTACCCACTCATTCATTGCTCACTAACCTTCGTCCTAAACAGCTCCCAAGCATTCAAGGCGCCCCTCTCCTCTCCCCTTTGCTCTAATCTTCGATTCCCTTAGGGTTTTGAGTGAAAGGAGAGTGGATTGAGTGAGAAAAACACTTTGGCAAGCTTGAGCACTCGATTTCTTCATCAAGCCAGTTGGATTTGCGTCTATTACTCTTAGGTTCTTGGAACCCTAGCCGGCTAGGCGTCGTCCAAGAGCTTCCATCTTGTGGAAGAGCCTTGGAAAGTTTGTATTACCCTCCATTTCTTAGTGGAAAGCTCGAGTAACCTTTGTGGTTGCTTTGAGATAGACAAGGAGGTGGAAGAGACTCCGACCTTTGTGGTCACCTCAACAACAAGGACGTAGGACCTCCTTTGTGGGGTTGCTGAACCTCGGGATAAATCCATGTATCCCGCGTGCTTGTTGCTCTTGAGATTTGTGTTATCATATTTGTTCTGGTTGGTTTGTCTTCCTCCCCAACTCTCCTCTTAGGGTTTGGACTTGATCTACGGAGTGGTCACCTTTCGGCGTTAAAGGAGCAGCCCCAACACTTCATCTTATCACTAGAAAGTGGGATTGTAAGATATCTTGCACTCAAAGTTCATTTTAGCACTTATAGTGAAATTCTAGTAGGTGTCAGAACTCCTGGCTGTTTGCGTCGGAACTTCCGTCTGCTGGAAGTTCCGGCCCAAACTGTCAGGACTTCCGACTGTCACTGACATTTGACTTTGAGATTTCGCAGAATTTTTTAGATACACCTATTCACCCTTCTCTAGGCATTGTATAGATCCTTTCAGCTACCCTTGTAATATTTAACCAAAAGCATAGCCTTGTAATATGTTCAATAGAACAACGTCACTGGTTAAATAAGTCATTCAAATCACATTAAGATATACCCCAATGTATTATACAACATAGAAGACAAGTGCATCTGTGTTAATGGTCTCTTCTATATCTTAGTGTGAACTTTGCTAAGGAGCTAAGTAGTTGTGATGGCTCCAAGGACTTTCTTAGTTTGCTTTTATAGAAGAAATTAGGTGTCAGAGGCTTGGGGTTTGGGGTTAGCATTTGCATAGGCTAAGGTTGTTGGTTTAAATTTTGTAGAGCTCAATTCATCACCTCTCTTAGTTTATTCTATCTTTACAATGTTGCCCGCACCAGATCCATAGAGGACGGTATAGCTAGCGATGCCCTAGCAGTGGACCAAGGAGGCCAGAGGCGGCAACGATTGTATCTAAGAGGGCATATAACGTGAAGGGTGTCGGTGGCGTCCTAGGTCAAGGCTCGTAGTAGCTCGAATAGGTGCCTAGACGGTCGGCGTTTTTATTTGCTTTTTTCCTTAACAAAGGCATACATAAACCATCGTCTTTGGAAACTTTGATTAACATAGGCTTTGAATTCAGATGCGGGTGAGTTGCTCGCCTCTGTTAAGCATGTTTAACGGTCTCTTAAATTTGTTATTATAGTAGTGCCAGTGACCCCACCACCGGCATCGTTGCTAGCCAAGCGTGTCCGCGCGCGATGGCGGCCACCCCTGTGTGCCTCGTAGCTAGGCCATGGCCATCTTCCAATTGCAACGTGCATGGCCGCGTGTCCGCGATGTGGCGGCCGCCGGCCGGTGCATGGCCGCGTGTCCGCAATGGCGG